GGAAAATGAAAGACAATGGTGGTGGTGGGGTGGATTAAAGCTACTAATACACAGCTACAACAAACAGTAGAAAAAGCCTAACTCCAAGTTACATAAACATAAAACTTCCCATTAAAGGCCTGTTTACCTCAGTTCTCTATACTTAATACACTATTTCTCGCTTAAATGAAAAAATTTACAAGTTATGAAAAAGGCAAAAAAGTCTGAAGAGATAAAGCAAGCATCAAAACCAGAATTAGATATAGCAGATATTTTAGAATTATCAAACTTAAAATTTAAAATAACTATGATTACTATACTAAGAGAATGGAAAAATAAATAGAAAACATACAAGAGCATATGGGGAATTTAAACAGAGAGATGGAAACTCCAGGAATCTAAAGGAAACGCTAGAAATAAAAAATACTCCAACAAAATAAAGAATGTGTTTGATGGGCTCATCAGTATACTGGACATAGTTGAGAAAATGATTAATAAGCTTGAAGATATATCAATAGAAACTCCTCAAATAAAAAAAAAAAGGGAGAAAAGAATGGGAAAAAAAGAACAGAATATCCAAAATCTGTGTGGCAATTACAAAATGTGTAGCATTCAACATGAAATGGGGATACCAGAAGAATAAGAATGAGGGAAAGTAACAAAATAAATATTTGAAGTAACAATGACCAAAAATTTTCCAAAATTAATGAGACACCAAACCACAGTGAGGTAGGGGGAACCTCCTTATCCATTCAGGGACAAAGATACACATTACACTAGACTCATCTTCAGAAACCAAGCAACCAAGAATAGAGTGGTGTGAAGTAGTATCAAAAGAAAAAAAAAATACTTATCAACCTAGAATTCTGTATCCAGTGAAATTTCTTTTTAAAAGTGAAGAAGAAATATTTTCTCAGACATACAAAAGTTGAGGAAATTTGTTACCATATCAGCAGACCTGCCCTGTAAGAAATATTAAAAGAAGGTCTTCAGAGAGTAGGAAATGATATAGGTCAGAATCTTGTATCAACATAAAAAGAGGAAGAACGTTAGAGAAAGAATAAATTAAGGTAAATCTACAACTTACAAAGTCTGAATCAGGAAGAAATAGAAATTCCAAATAAACTAATTACTGGTAAAGACATTGAATCAGTTATCAAAAGGCTCCCAATGAAGAAAAGCCCAGCACCAGAAGGCTTCTCAGGTGAATTTTACCCAATATTTAAAGAATTAATACCAGTCCGTCTCATTCTCTTCCAAAAATCAAAGAAGAGGGAACTTCCCAAATTCATTTTATGAGACCAGCATTATCCTGATACCAAAACCAGAAAAGGACACTACTAAAAAAGAAAACTACAAGCCAATGTCCCTGGTAATTATAGATTTAAAATTCTCAATAAATACCAGTAAAACAAATTCAGCAGCACATTAAAAAGATCATTGACCAAGATAAAGTGTGATTTATTCGAGGGATGCAAGGATGGTTCAACATACACAAATCAATCAATGTGATACATTACATTAACAAAATGAAAGAAAATAATCATTTTATCATTTAAATAGACTCAGAAAAAGCATTTGACAAAATTCAACATATATTCATAATAAAAACTCTTAATAAATGAGGCATATAAAGAACACTTTTCAACATAATGAAAGCCATGTATGACAAATCCACAGCTAATATCATAATGGTGAAAGGTTGAAAGCTTTTCCTCTAAGATCAGGAACAAGACAAGGGTGCTCACTCTCACCACTGTTATTCAACATTGTACATGAAGTCCTAACTAGAGCAATCAGGTGAAAAAAAGAGAAGTATCAGAATTGAAAAAGATGTAAAATTGTCTCTGTATGCAGATGACATTTCCTATATAAAAAATCTTAATCCCAGTGGCTAACCAAAGAACTGTTAGATCTAATCAACAAATTCAGTAAAGTTTCAGAATACAAAATTAACATATAAAGATTAGTAGCTGCTATACACTAACAACAAATTTTCTGAATAGCATCAAAAACAATAAAATACTTAGGAATAAATTTAACTAAGGAAGTGAAAAATCTCAACTCTGAAAACTACAAAGCATTGATTAAAGAAAATGAAGAAGACAAATAAATGGAAAGTTATCCTGTATTCATTTACTGGAAGAATCAATATTATTAAAATGTCAATACTACCTAAAGCCATTTATAGATTTAATGCAATTCCTACCAAGATTCAATGGTGTTTTCCCCACATTCTCCTCCCTTCTGTGGTAAGGGAGTCTCCATTCCTCTTTCAGGATGGAAGGACTTCCACCTATCCAAATGTGTCTGCTGGTGCTGTATCTGGTGGGGCTAGCGAGGGCTCAAAGTGGTGCTCCAGGCAGCCAGGGCCTGGGCCTCTGCAGCCTCGGGGAAGAGCGCATTCCAGCGGCGACCACTGTCTACGGATTAGTACACGGTGTACATCCCAAGCTCAACAACGAGATCCTGGCCCACGACTACAGTTCTTGGGCATGCCCTATGCCCGGCCACCTCTGGGTACTCACTGCTTCCTGCCATCTGAGGCCTCCGCCTCGTGGCCCAGCTTGTGCAACACCACCACTCTGCTGCCTGCCTGCCTGCAGAACCTACACTAGGTGCTGCCCACCATCATGCTTCTCGTGTGGTTCGCCAACAACTTGGAGGCAGCCGCTACCTATGTGCAGAACCAGAGTGAGGACTGCCTGTACCTCAATCTCTATGAGCCCACTGAAGATGGTCTGGTCAAAAAAAAAAAGCATGTCAAAGTGATGCTCAATCTTCCAGACAGTTTTCCAGAACTCTAAGAAACCAGTGATGCTGTTTCTATATGGCAGCTCCTACATGGAGGGCACTGGGAACATGTTTGATTGCTCTGTCTTGGCCACCTATGGCAACGTCATGGTAACCACGCTCAACTACCAGCTTGAGATGCTGTTTTTTTTCTGCACTGGAGACCAGGCTGCAAAAGGCAACTATGGACTCCTGGACCAGATCTAGGCCCTGTGTTGGCTCAGTGAAAACATTTCCCACTTTGGGGGTGACCACAAGCACATCACCATCTTTGGGTCTGGGGCAGGAACCTCCTGTGTCAACCTTCTGATCCTCTCCTACCATTCGGAAGGGCTATTCCAGAAGGTCATTGCCCAGAGTGGCACTGCCATTTCCAGCTGGTCTGTCAACTACCAGTTGTTCAGGTACAAGCAACTGCTTGCAGCTAAGGTGGGCTGTGACCGTGCTGAAGGTTTGGAGTTTCTGTGCCAGAAGTCTTCCCGGGAGCTGATGGATC